CTGTAAAAACCCCCGCTCCCGCCAGCTCTTCAGAGCCATACGGTTAACGGAAGCAAAAATGCATTTCAGTTTTGGCTCTATGTTATTGAGCGAGCTGAGAAGTGCAGATGTAGTGCTCTTAAAGGAAAATGTTACTACCTGACACAGCACTCACCCTTGCAAATGAATGGCTGGTTACACAGTAGTAAGGACCATTGGCTTTATTTTCCTTTTTTTTGGGGGGGAAAAAAAGGGGGAAAAAAGTAGATGTCTAGTGATATTTTAAAAAGTATTTGGGCAGGAATCGATACAAGTGTAAATATCTGGCTAGGCATAAAACAGTATTACACTCTAGAAATCTGACCCGTCATCCCACCTGTACTCAAGTTTTGAGACTTTCAGAATAGAACTATTTCATTAATTCTATAAAAGGCATTTTTCAAGTTAAGCCCCCTTTCCCAAATTTTGTGGTTGCAAAGGTTAGGGGTTTTGTCGTCGTTGTTCCATTTAAAGCAAGCCTCCCCCAAACCACTTTTCTAAGATACCATTATCACTCCTGTGTCCTTAGCTTGGAAGCAAAGGCTTTAGAAGAGCTTTTTTTAGAGCGTCTACATGAGGGAAGGCGGGGGGGAAGACACAGTATAGCAAGGAATATGCATAGAGCCTGGATCACTGTAGGTCAACAACTCTGACACAATAAGATTAACGCTCCTGACATTTTTTTCCACATATTAAGTAGCAGAAACATTGTGCATTCTGGAAACAAGTTTTTGGTGGGAGATGACGTAAACTCAACTTTTAGCGTACTGTATATTCCTCTTCTCTACTTGAACGCATTTAATGGCCCATGAAACTAAAGAAAAGCTTTAAGTTTTCCTATAGCTTCTTGAACTTCTGTGAACAAATGCCACAGCCCGGGTGACTGCTACCTCATTTACAAATCAATGTCATTAAGCAAAATAAGGCTACGAAGAGGTTCAGAAGGTGCACACTGGGGTCTGCAGAGACCTGCAGACCGTGCAAACATTCCACAGAGAAAGCTCAGAAAAAGCTCACTGAAAGATCGGATTCTCTGATCAGTATTTCACAGACAGGTCAGTACTTAGCCCCAGAAGGTTACTTTTAAATTTTGCTCCATTTTTACAACGTATAGCAGGAATCACATCCATTTTATGCACTACAGCATCCTAGAAATCCATGTGCAGAGCCTCTTTTTGCCACTTAAAATTGAGTTAAAAAAAATCTATCCAGCCAAGTAGAGACTTTAGACCCGTACTGGTATATAAAGGCTTGGGTTATGATCCTCTCACACGCATGTAGCTGTAGGAACAAGGAGCTACACTAGTTATCTGGGAGACATTATTCTCACACCTCATGAAGCTTGGCACAGAGTAAACAATCCCATTTTCTACAGAAAAATGTCAAGTAGTACAGCTCTATAGCTCCACATAGTTTTGTTGTTTCTGAACCTACAGTACATCAGGTTTGTATTAAAATACTGTATTTGCCAAACAATGAGGAAAAGGGTAACATTTTACTAAAGGTTAGCCCATTACAGACACAGCCAAGTTTAAACACCAAGAAATTTAAATACACCAAGTCATTTGCGCATAAAAGCAATTCAAGAAGGTGCAGGTAGAGATAAAGGTGAGCATCTCAGCAGGGCGAAATCCTGATGTACATTGAAAAAGGTAAACTGTAACAACCATATTATTAACCTGATCGTGGCAGGCATGCTATCCCACAGGACAGAGCTACATACATCTAGAGAAAGCAAACGGAAAACAACTTTGTCAGCATGGAACTCGTACACAGGACAACATTAACACCAAAGTCTCACAATTCCAGTTTTAAGAAAAAGGATGCTTACTAAAGCAAAATGTTTGTCTTAAGTATAGAGTGGGGAAAGATCTGCAAAGGCTTTGATACTCCCTACACAGGTCAATCATTTATCTGTATTTAGGGTGTGGTTTCCCAAGCTGTGGCAGAAGGGGGGTGCAACTATTCCTTTGCTGCCAGTCTTGTCTCCCCACTTTGCATCTTGCCCTAACTCCAGCCATGGCATGCTGGTACATCAACTTACCCAGCTGCAGAGTACAGATACGGGTTTTTTTTTCCTCCTAACTGCACAGCCACATAAGCCTGACTGCTGGCTTAAAAAGAGCAGTTGGGGCAAACTTACAGCAATGGTTGATCATGAAACCATATCCTAGGTTCATAAATGATTTAAAAATGAAATGCAGTAGGAAGTCTATTCCATCCCAATGTAACAAATTATGACGAGATTCTTATCAGGGAATCAACTGAAAGTGAAAACCGGTCCCTACTTTTGTTAAATCATGTTTTCAAGTTTCTAATTCTCGAACTGAACAAAATAGCTCAGATTTTAATCTGTATAGTTGAGACAGGACGAGCTTTGCAATAATTTAATGGACTCTGAAGTCAGTTTATCCTAAGTACATGTTAAAATTATTAGCTTTAGCATCTGCACGAACTATCAAGGCAAGTGCTACCATTACTCATCTGCTGCTTAATACTCATCAGGCATCTTGCTAGTATGACACAACTAGGATTACTGCACTTCAGCGTAGTTTAACGACAAGCAGATGAAACTTCTCCCTCCGATTCCGACTTCTGCTGGAAGACTAAAACGAACGATGGCCACGCATCAAGGTCTTTGTGGTGCTGCTTCCTGGCTAGGTAAGAGCAAGTCAGCCAGAAGGCCCTGGCCTCATAACTTGCACCGGACCTGCAGATTTCTGCCCCACCACGTGTACCGGGGACTCTATTGATACAACAGATTTACAAAGCCTTGCAAATCTAGGACCCTACGTAATGTAATTGCGTTTAGTTAATCCAACATTGGTTTCAAAACACATTTTAGAAGCCTCTGTCTTGAACATATTTCAATGCTGAATTAGTGAGAATTATTTGAAACAGTTGTCTATAAAGCAGTACAGGTATTCTCCCAGAACGATCAGTGAAACATTTAATCTGACTATAAACAAAACTCACAGAAACTGAAGCCAGTGAAGCTGTCAAATGTGGAAGGAAAACAAAGTTGCATGGCATACGAAGCAAAGTAGCTTTACAAATGTCATTTCATTTTAAAAACAAGCAAATTGGGACCATCCTATTTGAACATGTATTTAAAAATACACCTTTTAACATCACACAATTTTAATTTTTGTCACACAGGAATCTTTTTGCAAGAGGGAAATAAATAGCACACAATACTTAAAAAAAAAATTGCTGCCTTGCCCCTGAGGTGCTAATGTTTTTAGCATTTAAAAAAAAGTTTCTGGTGCAAGAAGGAGATGCACAAAGGTGCAAAAGTGCCTTTTTCTTTTCAGAGCAGTGAAAAGTACAGCTTGCTTCTTTTCTAGGATGCTTTATATACTTAATTTGTATATTTTGTAATCAAAATCTGTATCTAAAATGGCAGTGTTTATGCATACATAATAGATTCAGTGCTCTGACCTCATCAAAACGCTGAACATAGGCGGGAGAGAGAAAGGCCTGAAACGGGCTTTCTTCCGCTACCCTCAAACCTAGTTACATCACCTGTAGCAACAGCAGAGTTATTTTCTTTCTAACCTTGAGGAGACCTCATAAGAAGAGGCTTCAAATACATCATTTGTCACTGAGACAGTTTAAGTGATTATGGTTTGAAATATGGCTTTTCACACCACAGTTTTGCTTCTGATTTTTAAAGTTTAAAACTCAAAGGTTCCACAGTCCAGTTCAAGGTTTTGCAGTTTCCAAAACTAAACTTTTGTCTCTATGAAAAGGACAGAACTTTATCTGCCTCGTCCTAAATTAGGTTTAGCTTTTCGCGGTAATACACCATGTATTATTAAATACGCTTGTTAATTAGGTGCCTGTGAAGCTATAACTTAACATTATTATAGTTTTGCACTCTACAACAAAATTAGACATTTTAAGCATTTATTCATAGGTAGGTAAGGAACTGGTTCTTTAAGCAAAAATTCCTATAAATTTATAAATACAAATAGTGCTTATGTTTTCTTCATTCATGCTTGAACAGGTTACAAACTGAATACAATGAAGTTACGTTTAAGCACCCCACATAGACAAGAGGGATAAAAGAAAAGTTTGCTGGTATATACTATACTTAGTTCCAAGACACTATAAGTTACTTTTTCACTGTTCAGTGTTCCCTAACTCTGCATTAGTTTTAAGGCTATATATACAAATATGTATATTTCAA